TACAAAATACTTATATATGACTATAATAAGACCTATTTGGACTTACGGAATCGAGCTTTGGGACTCTACTAAACCATCGAATTCCTCTCGTATTCAATCCTTACAATCCAAAATCCTTTCGTAAAATCCTTAAGGCACCTTACTTTGTCACAAATAAAATCATCCATAACGACCTTAACGTACCATATGTTTCCGATTTAACTCAATCCAGATACCTATCCTTCCATAATTAACTTCTGAACCATCCGAACCTTCTTGCTTCCTCCTCTATTCCTGATAACACTCCGAGAGGTCTGAAAAGAAGATAGCCTCGGGACCTTCTAATATAGAACTTTAATTTGAGTTCTACCAATGGGTAGTTTCTCTTCATGTTGTAAATGTCATGTTACCAATGTCACATTTACTCGTATTTTTCATGCAATACAGTTGTAAATTTCAGTAAAATAAAAAAAACAATTTAAATTCTCCAGCCAATACCGTCCCACTACATCTCGTACTTCAGTCCTCTATCCTCTTCCTCACTTAACTGCTGCGTTTGACAAATCGTTCGACATACACAATCAGTTTCCTCTTGAAATCTTCCTCTTTAAACACCTACTTCTTTCCCGATCCGACTGATTACGAAATATAACTCAGAGAACTATATAAATACCCCCATATAGTATTTCTGTTATTTTAGTTTTCTTTGTTTGTTTTATATATATGTACGCATTTCTTTTCTTTTTCTCACTCTTTCTTCTGTATTTTTACTTATAATTACTATTATTGTAAATATTTAATTTATTTATGACCAGACAGACATGCATTCTGTACTTATAATTTGTTCTAAATGAACAACAGTCCCAGAATAATAAAATATATTTATATTTCATTTCGAAAAATAGGAACCATTTCCCGCTTTAACTTTCAACTCTTCAATTTCTTTTTTTTTTCTGTCCAAGACCCTAAACCCTTTCCTACGTATTCAAACATATTCTCTTCTAAATCATTATCTTTTTGCCTAAAATAAAACAATCCATAAACAAGATGGTATATGGAGCCGGCGAGCGGTTGATGTAGGAACGGATGAACGGATGACAGCTATCAGTTTACGCATAGTCGCTTCGGAACTAGCTCAAGCGGCTAAATCTTCTTCCGAGGTCCTCAACTATTGTTAGCGGATTAATCTTGTCTCCGCGAAGCTTATGTGTCCACCGCCGTCGAGTAGAGGCTCCAGACGTCGGAAAACCCTAAATAGATATCTCGGCTATAGTCAGCCTCATCAGTACTTAATTAATAAGGATGAGTTCAATTCCAACAGTAAAAATCTTAAGTAATTCGTGCAGATTAAATCGGACCCCAAAGATTAGTATGTCCATTCTACAAAAACTTAAAAAAGTCTGGTCCAACGTGTATCAAACGAATTTCACTTATTTACCAAGTTATTTTTTTAAATTGTTATAATCCGCGATACCGACCCCTTTTTATCCGATTATTAACACACGTCTAAAACTTCGTGAATGGCTCTATCTTATCGTAACCAAGAACTTTTTTTTCTACGAAAATTCTGAGTAATTGGGTAGGTTGAAATTATGTACTAAAACTCATGAATACCCATTTGCTTTCAACTTCAATTGTAAGATAATTTGATTACAAAATCGAGTTAAAAAATAGGTTACAAAAATATTGGTCAATATAACTATAGGTTGGAGTGGAGGTTACAACAAACTGTCCAATATTAATGAAGGCCATATTTTATCTCGAATTTGTGAACAAATAATCTTACGAGGAGTTGGTCGGGAGGTGTAGCCAAATAAATACTATATACTATAAATACTGTGCTATAGTATTTATTTGACCACACTCCCCGACCAACTCCTTCTCATATTACATCACGGTCAACCATCTCTACATCATTCAAAATAATCTTAGGATTTAGTCCGTAGTCTTTCAAAAGAATTGAGCCGTTTGGCGAGACCTAAATCCTTAAAATGCCAAAATAACGAAGTAAATATTACTTTTTTATGCAGAGTTGAAGTGGCTTTATCTTCCTAGCGGCATCCTTCGTCTTTCAAGTCATCCAATTCCAACTTCCTTCATACATCTCCGTGCTCTTTCAATTTAAATGCTATGTTCGCAATACTCGTTCCCGGTCTTCAGATTTATACATAAGGGCCTACCGACCGCTGCTTTCGACAGATCGTTCGTTATCCGATCCTCATCCCTATGGATCTCCATCCCTTCCCACATCCGTCAATCCAATACCCTTCCTACCTTTAAATCTCGACTGTTCAATCATTTCTTATCCATCCAGTCTTCATAAAATTGTAAATAGATACTACTGTAAATATGTATATAAATTATTAGTTCGTTCTTCATTATTTTAAATTCATGTTTTTTTAATCAATTTTTTATTGTTTATTAATAACTGATCAAAATTAGAAAATAACTTTTTTTTACTATGACTATTTAATTACTCTGTATTTTTATTTATGTATCTCTGAGGCTCCTTAGCCCACATTTCTGTCTTGCTGTATTATTCTAACGAGACTCGTCCCAGAATAAATAAACTATTATTAATGGGCCAAAAGGCCCAATATTTATATAAGCTGTGTTTTTAATCGATTTTGTGAACAAATTATCTTACATCTAGTGGAAAGCGAATGGGTATTTACGAGTTTTTATAACCTGATTAAATAGACAAAGTTTTCCCCCTCCAGATTGAAAACGTCCCAATTCCATGAGTTTTAATAAATAAAATAATTGTAGATTACGATGAGATGAAGCTATTTACCAAGTTTCAGGCAGAGGTTAATAGTTCGATAAAAAGGGGTCTGTGCAACGGACGATTAGTCGAGGAGATCTCTCATCCAGTTCCTCTTTATTTAACCTTCTACGGACGTTACCTGGATGAGTGTCTTGCCTGACCTTTTCGTTTATGAGTGTGTTTAAGAAGTCCTTGTAATTTATCATGGAATCGTTTGTAGAAGATCTTTCCGTATTTATTAACAGTCAGCATATGAAGGTTAAGTAGCTAGCATAACACGGTGCTCTTTTAATTGTCCTGTTTGCTTAAAAGATTTAAAGTTTGTCCATGCGAACTGTTCTTTTTAATCGTTCTATGTAATTGTGATGCTTAAGTACAAATATCTAAGTAAGAGTACGTGCTATATTTCTAACTAAGCCATAGTTTATACTTAGCCATGTTTTATTGCTTATAACCAAGAGAGACCGTTATTATTTAAAATAAACCATATTAAAGGTATTTTAGAGGAAGGGATTTTGAAAAATTTGGCACATAAGCCCTTAATGCGGATACAACCCAATATCCATATACAATGATATAACCATTGTAAATAACTAGTTTAACCAAAATGGTTAAAAAAGGCCTTAGGAAAATAATGTGTAATTTGATGATTAAATCGATTATAAAAAATGTGTACTTTCGGTAAGACGATTTAAACCAAAAAATTGGTGTAACATCCCTTATCACATGCATACCTTATAGATATAATTGCAGTTTCGTATGACTTTTAGTTTTTGAGCCAGGCTGTTTACAAACACGAACATACACACACCCGCGCGCATAAGCAGGCACTAACACACACACACACAAACACAGAGCATTATTTGGATCATAGGGGTTGTTGTTATTAACAGCTGAGAGGTATAAAACCCGGAGGTCATCAACCCCTATCTAATCTTCATTTTAATAATCTCAACAATAAATTATTAAGTAAAAAAACATAAATTTGAATTCCGTTTAACAAAGCATTAAGAAAATGTATTGACGATTTTATTTTAACTTCGTCATTATTTAAAACTACTGGTAATTTGGTTCCCCATGAGTCTCAATTTGGTTAGAATCAATACTTAACAAGGAAACTGTTGGAGAATTTGGCTGACTGTGAGAGTACCGTAGCAATGTTGGAGTTTTGTCGCAGGATATTTGTTTATCAAATATGAATAAGTCAAGATTGTACGACCCGTCCTTAGTTTAGTTAAGGCATTTCCTCTCTACAAATAGGGCGGTTTGAGAAGTACGGTTTTATTGATCATTTTAATTCCTTCAATTTGCTCTATGGGCTCTCATTCCACATGGATTGCCAGCCAAGAGCTATTTATTTTTTGAGAGGAAGGCTTGGTTCATGCGGTGGGCTTCCGCGTCGTGAGTGCTCATTTCCAATTTGGGACTTGGTTATTTGAACTTCAGGAATTTTAAAGTGTTTATTAGTTGAAAACTCGAATATAAAATGTTTCACTTCAGCAAGACTTTTCCTTAATATATATTTCATAAATAGTCAAATGAAAATAAAAAAAAAAAACTCTGAAGGTGGTACCGTGTATGTGGTCGTTAACAGTAGCCAAGTGAAGGTCTTTGAGTAAAGTAATGTGTGTGAGGTACCACAGAGCTGTCGATAAACAGTTCTGAAAGTTTTTATTTGCATTTAGTTTATGTTTGTGGGTCATTTTAGATATTTCTATATATCTCTGATGCTTAAGTCCCAATAAGTTTTCGAAAACGGATTTAACGACTTTAATTAAAATAATTATATTGAATTAATAATTGGTAAATGGTTGACTGTCGTGGATAATGAAGAGAAGAATAGTTGGGGTGGTCATTCAAAAAAGAAGGCAAAAATAAATGATAATATTTATTTTTACATATGCCGACGTTTCGACCTGAAGTTCAGGCCATCATCAGGGCTGACTGCTCTTAAGGTAAAGATGCAATGGATCATTTCATTATATTGAATTAAAATTAAATAGTCTTTAATATCAATTAGGTATTATAACTGTTGCTCATAATATTTTGAAAAAAGAGAGAAGAGGAATTTGCTTTGTTATTTTAGTTTTAATGACTCTTGCCCTAACACCTTACTTCAAACAAGCAATCCTAAAAAAAATTGAACAAACCCACCAATTTCAGAACGTTATCAGACAGAGAAGATCTTATCCTGATTGGACGTCCGTTCCGGAGATCTCAAAGAGGCTATGTATGGAGTTTATCTCGTCGAGTATCAGTAAAAACCCGTAAAAGGTGTATTCAGCCGGGAAAGTGTTTCCAAGAAGGAGGAACCTGGAGCAGGCCCGAGGGGAAGATGAAAAAGCAATGAGCTCATTACACAGCATTCTTCGACTCCTTTCAGTTCTGCCAACGGCCGAATTTCAGGATAGCCTCCCCTCTTCCTCCAGAATATCTTAGGTTGCCTTCTGTTACGGACAAAGAGGGCGTTAGGAGACTATAAGGGTCAGAAAATTAGATAATAGCAATGCAGGATAAAGGCAGTCTTTTATGATGTGGCTCTTTTAAGATGTATGTTTTTGTATAATTTTAACTCCGAAAACTGTTTGTAGAGAGAGAATCACTTTATTTTTATAAAAGGGTGCTACCCAACTATATTGGGTTGCTATAGACACAGCATACTTTTCGATCAATACAATGAACAATTCTGCTTTCTCCTATAGAAGAATGCTCACCAGAGAATTTAATAATTAATAAATTGGAGAATTTCGGTACCACTGTTTTGTAATTAAAATATTTGTATAACTTTCACATTGTAAATATAATTGTTTTTATTTTCCTATTAATTATTTGTATATAAATAGACTGAAATATAATTGTGTTATGAAACACAGACTCCTCTGACGGTCAACAGACCATGTAGCACGTCTGATTTTCGGTTTTAAATCCAAAAATATTATTTTGTATTGTTTTGTAATTTATATTTTGTAATTTTGATAAATAAAAAGACTTTTTCTTCTTCTTCTTCTTTTCAATGAACAATTCTTTAAGGAAATATATAGTATCATTAAGGTTTTTTTTTCGTTCTTTTTTCAATATTTCTTTTATTAACATTCTATTTACCTTTATTTCCCTCCTCCTGCCTTATACATTTCTTTTATTTTTCCTCATATTTTCCCCTCTCTCTTTCTAACCTAAATCATACTAACTGAGGGAGGATTTAGTACATACGAGAAACAAAACCTGTACTATTATAGCCCAAGATGAATAGTAGTTATGGGAGGTGATCGGGCAGGGATTACGCTCAACTGCCAGGGTGATATTTTTAATTTTATTATTTAATTAAGATTGCTCACTTTATAGAAGGTGGTGTGTCACTGGATGGTCTCCTGATCCCAGGGTCGATCTAAAGCTAACAGAATAATTACCTGCGATAGCCGGACTTAAACTCAGTATCTTGAGCATTGAAAGTCAGCCACTGAGCTACGCTAATCCCATGTGTGTACGTATATTTTATTAAAAGGGAGAATTTCAGCTGAATTGCTACACTAAGTATAGGTCGCTGCTAGATTGCTATAGATTTTCATACGTACATTTATATTTTGGTAATTACAGAAATAATTTATATTTTTGCACCTGTATATTATTCCAAGTTGACTTCTTTAGAAGCAAATTAATTAAACACTAATTAAATTTCAATTTTTTTGGCTCCCTCATTGAGTCGTCTAAAGATTTAGCACGCCCCAAATTGATCTTCCATCAGAAAATGGATCGGTACCGTCAATTTTCTAAATAAAATCTCTTTTTGTATAATTATATTAATTAGTCCCATCAAGGTAACTCCACTTTTTTTATGTACTCATGAAAAGTTTATCCAAGAAAAACAAAAACAAACAGCCTGGATCTTGACCTAGACTAGGGTTAGCTCAGACTACTCTATTTGCCTACCTGGGTGACCAAAAGGGTAGCAGACGACCGGGGGCTAAGTTGTGTTTTCACAGTGGTCCAGGACCCTTGTCAAAGAAAATGTCAAAACCAAATTATCTTCAACAAAAATAAGAAAAAAAGAAATAATGTAAATATTTTTACATTACAAAATATTTTTTCTTCTCATTTTTAGCATAAGCTTACCTGATTTATAATAAGGTTGGCAATGAAAAAATTCATTAATATATGTCAACGTTATATTTCATATAATATAACGCCACTCTTGCTAACGTTTCGGGATTGTATCCCATTCTCAGAGCTTTTTTTCTTATAATTTCATTCATTATTATTCATTATAATTCAATTTCTAAAATACATGTATGATTATAAAGTTCATGTTGATATTTATAAAATTTATTAAGGTTTACAGTTATATTTACCACTTAGATATCTGTGCTCCATTTGTCTGATTTATAATTTACAATTTCTTATTACATATTACTTAAATTGGCAAGCTTTAACAGTATTATCTTTGTATTTTGGACAAATTATTTGTTCTTATTCTTTATGTGGTAAGTATGCATGTTTGATTTATTGGAATTATTAATATTATTGTGTGAATTAATTTTTTTTCTTTCCTCTTTATGAAATAATCAATCTAAGAGCGAATTAAATGAAAAAGAATTATAATAATAATAAAATCCACTCTGCTCCAAAAAACGAAGAATGTCAGAATACTCGGAACAGAGTTAAATGTAACAAACATAATAATATTACACCAATTACATAAAAAAAAAAAAAATAGTTTTGCGTATTTTAAATTAATTTAAATTAACTTTCATTTCGAATTCAAGGATTATTAAATATATTTATAAGGTCATTGATACAGTGATTATTATTGGAAAAGTAATACAAGTAGATTGATTAGCGCATTGGACCAAAAAAAATATATATATATGTAGCAGTTTATATTTTGTTTAAAAAATCAACATAATTATTGTTAAAGGAACGGAAGACAGCCTTCATAACATATGTACATCTCTATAACTTTTTCAACTAAAAATGAATAATGTCACGGAAATATAAAAATATAACGTTTTCATAGTCTAACTAGTTATGTAAAGTGTCTCTAAAAACATTCTCTATAAAATATATTTATACTTCTACTTATTTATCTCTGACAATTTATAAGAAAACCACGTGAAAATGGAGGTGTCCACATGAAAGGTGAATGAATCATAAAATCCGAGGATCCGTTTCTATATTATTATCTCTGAACATAAATGAAAATTTAAATAATAGGAATATTTAAGCAGTGATAAAATAGTCAGGTACCATAACTAGTTATATTACGGGATTAGGCAATTACATTTTTCTTATTTTCTTAATCGATTTAATATTACATATTTCATTTATTCATGCTTATTTGCAATAATTTTTTTTTAATTTCGATTATTTGGGGAGGGGATGAAACGATATTTTAGCCCCCTCAACATTTTTTTGAGGGGTGATCGCCCCCCGATTCTAGCCCTCCCGAAGTCTGCGCCTATGCGAATAGTTATAGTAGGAATATTCATGCGACCAGTGCTATGTATTATAAACTTCTTAAATGTGTAAAGTCGAAAAAATTATTTACGAAAGGTGTGTTAAGTATGGCGGCTATTATTCCCAATTTTAACGCAGTCTAGGGTCCGGTAAAGTATAGCTAGCAAAGATTTTGATATTTTTGATTCTCTGTCGTTTACATGTCTACAACATCCACAGAAATGGAATGAAAAGACAGCTAGGATGTCATCTTTATATTCATCAAGTGTTTTTGCCTTATGAATCTTCATTAATGCTTTCTATTAAAGCATGTTTAACCAAATAATCCAGCAACTCAGTCATTTCACTTCGCTTTGGCAATTTAGAAATAAATCAAAACATTGTTAAATCAATTAAAAACTCACAAATTTTGTTTACAGTACACACAGAACCTTACTATAACTAATAACACTTTAGCACGTTAGCATAGACAGGTTATTAATCATTAATTTAAAATTTGTGCTGACTACTTAGCATGATAGCACAATAAGCATTTACAATAAGTGCATGAATACTCCCAGTATATTAAAATGTATTGTTAAGATCTTTCATAGTTGCCCATATATCATTAAATTTGTAGCAAAGAAGCATATAAAAAAATAATGTATAAATAGCAATAATAAAGTCTTTTTATATTTTTATGCCCATTAAAATAATGAATATCGAGTAATAACAATAAGTATAACTGCCTAAGTGAATATCATATTTAGCAGTAATTTCAGAAACGTTTCCCACGGGAAGATTCTAAAATTGCTCAAACAGAATTGTGATAATAAAAATAATAAATGACTTTAATTAATTTTATAGGCGCTTTGAGCTCGGGAAGAATCAATGTCATTAAACATTACAAGCTAAAATTAAATTAGTTCCCTAACTGGCACTGCCCAATTTATACTCTCTATTCCTACAATGTAAGGACTACTGTTTTACTATTATTATTATTATTATTATTATTATATTAGTTGGTCCGTGCGAATAATTCGCGGAAAACTTTCTTTAGTGAAGGAATAGCAAAACAATATGGAAATAAGTAGATCCTATGTATTATGTGAGGGAGGAATTAATAGTTTTCCCGGGTCGATTACAATATTCTATTTAACATAAGAAACCAAAATATTTGTACAAATTGTTTTGCTAGAGTCTATTTCTAAATGCTGATTGAAAATATTACATGTAAAATAAAGCCTCAATCATGGGTTTTTTAAATTATAAAAAAAAAATATAAAATGTACAAACAAAAAATTAATTTATGAAATAGTATAAAAAAAAAAATAAAATAAAGTAGAAGAATTGTAAATGCAGTATCTTTAAACAGGGAGAAATTATTAAGTCTACCAAAACTATTGGACTATATCTTTGTTAATAATTGTCCGATTTTTAAAACTTTTGTTTATATTGTAGGTAATTTAGTAATATTTCTAATTATTGTGGGTATAATCCAGAAAAATGCATTCTTTTTGAGTTATTCGCAAACATAGTTTCTTTTCCTTCAAACATTTTTCCCCATAACTTTCGGGGAATATGACTATTTTTCGCATGTGTAGGTGAATATCTTCAAAATGAGTGGTCAACCATCGGATTTGATGAAGAATTGACGAAGTTATAGCGTACCAACAAAAATAAAAAATATTAGAAATATATATAAAAGATAGAAGATCCGTGCTGAGATAATCGTCATGGCAACGACTTCATTTTTCATTATTAGGTCTTTGCCTGGCGTTAGCTAAAACATTCATAACTCCTCAGGATTTTATCCTAATTCAATGTTTCTATAACAGTTTGAAAGCTGTATTATCGCTCTTCAAGACCATATAAATAACTTTTTGATTTACATGTCTATAAAAAGTAAATAAATAAAAACTCCTAGCAGGTTTTTATTTTATAACTTGTGTTCTAAATTATTTAGGAAGGTACATTTTGTGTCATTTCGTGTAGTTTATAAGGCCCTATATTCCTGCAAAATTTCGTGTGAATAGGTGGAAGGATATTGAAGTTATAACACTTTTGTGATTTTCGAAATAAAATCAAAGGAGCCTTAGGTCAAATTTGTAGAAAAAAAATTTATTTTTCGATCGCAATGAAAATTCGTATTCGAGGGTCTTTCGAGCTGCGAAATACAAATCTCAACTCTGTTTCTCCTTAAAAAAAATATTGCAACACACTTTACTCCTTCCGTTAATACAAATTGTTTAAATTATACATATTTGTAATCGATTATTACGATTTTTTTTGTAGACAATTTAGTAATCTTTCTGATTATCATGGATAAAATCAAGAAAAAAAACATACTTTTTGAGTTGTTCGCAAATAAAGTTTATTTTTCTTCAACACTTTTTTCTCAGAAACTTCGGGGAGATAGGACTATTTTTCGCATGTGAAAGAGAAGAATATCTTCAAAATGAGTGGTCAACCATTGGAGTTGATGAAGAATTGACGAAGGTATGGCGTACCGACAAAAAAAAAAGCACCTTTCAGAAATAATATAAAACATTGATACTATACGTTTATTTTCTATAAAATAATGAAATTGACAAAATACAATAAATAAAATATAAATGACGGACGAACGAATGATGTAATGGAGGCTGTTAAAATATTCTCTATAGGCGCTAAATTATACAGCTGATTGGCGAAACCGGTCTGGAGATTAAGACAGCCTTGGAAACAAATTTATCACAAAAGAATTTTGGTCTCCTTCAATTAAAAGCAATCGCTCTCTCTATACCAACACAGATACAGATAGCCATTGCTGGCGTAGTATCTTTATATGTTATTTCTGGAAGGTGTTTTTTATGTCAAGATTGTCAATTTTAATCAAATTTAACGATTGAGCTCCCATTTTGAAGATCTTATTCTCCTTCTGGTGGAAAAATAGTTACCTCCTCCCAAAATTTCAGAGAAAAACGAAATGAAGAAAAAAAAACTAATTGCGAATAGCTCAAAAAATATATATTTAAATTCCCTATAGGTAAAAAAAAATATCAGATCATAATTACCATAGATAAATACCATTAGATTTGATATACATATAAATTTCTTTGCATAAAAAGATTTGTTTTTTTGTTTATTTAGAAATATAATGATCTGTCACGTGGACAATAATTATAGTGAGGTATGAACACATTAACACCATATATACCGAAAACATAAATAATAAAAAAAAACTATTACAATAAAAAATAAAATCACGTAAAGATAAGTAATTTAAAAACACAGTCATACCTATATACAATCCTTTAACTATAGAGGGAAAAGCAGGACTCTAAGAGATCCCTGCTCTACTCTCTCAACCGCGACACTGGTGCTAAACCCAGTGGAGATTGAACGCTATATCGTTAGCCATATACACTCATGTCTTGAGTGGAGAATCTTGCCAGAACTTCAAGATATATACTACAAAAGATCTCTGGGCCACTACCGCTTCAACCTTCGAGGAGGATTGTAAGGATGGGTGGTGCAAAATAGAGATTGTGCAAGGGGATTTAGATGATAGGTAAGGTTCTGCATGGAATTTGGAAATGTTTTCAGGGATAAGGTCTAGGACAAATGTAATATTAAGGTCATGATGTCGGGTTTTGGTGGTTACATAAAAGATAATGCTTTTACTATTCTGATGCCGTTCTTTTTTCTTGGCTGATAAATGCTTCATTATTTCTAAATAAATAACTAAATAATAAAAACTCATATGTTGTTCGATTTTCATTTGCTTAAATTTGATTAGCAAATTACAAATAAACAATATATCACATGTGATATCATTTCGGTTATCGAAGTCTTATTACTTTCACTTAGCTGTAAATGAAATATATAGCAAAGGAAAGTATTGCAATCGCGAAAACTTTCAATTCCTCTTTATCTGAAAATACTTATTTCTCCTAAGAAGAGGATGGTATGTGAAAGTTGTGTGATGCCCGCACCGCACCAGATTTTTAAAAATAAATATTCAAAAATACCACGATTGACTTCTAAGCATTTTCGTCTTGGATGGGTGACAGTTGCTCTCCTTATTCATACATATTTTTTTTTACGTTGCATTAGTGGTACTATAATTCCAGTAGGCAAGAAATAAGAATATCTCATAAGTAGAGGCTACATTAATTGTTACATACTTGGCGTTATGGTTTTTTATTTGACTGAATCATATTGTAGTCTGTTCCATTGACATTTCTTACCTTATCTTAATTAATTCAACAGATGTGAATGCTTGTAACGTGATAGCTATAATTAAGGTTGGAATCAAAGACGCCATGATGACCGGTTGTAGCGAAGGGTTGAAGCCAGCTGACCAAACCGAAAGGGTTACCGCCCTTAGCAAACCAGTTCACATCTGTCTGCTGTAGTATAGTGTGGTGTGGTTTTATATCCAGCTGCGGCTCATGCATTTTTATGCTCCGTGCCTCCGATGCACTCGTCATGCAGTGGATATACAGAGAGATTTACTGGATTTGCATTCTCTAGACCCTGGGATTTATTGCTACAAAGATAAATACTTTCACATATATTTCAACTTTTATAACTTAAAAACTTTCAAATAATGTTATAAAATAAAGAGGTTAGTTTAGTTAAACTGGAATGGATTAAAGGAAACAGCGGGATCGCTGGAAACGAAGCAGCTGATAGTTTGGCGAAATTTGCTTCGACAAAAAAATGTCGGAATATCAATCTTTAGAACAGAAAACATTAATAAATAAGCCTGAAAGATAAAATAAAGAGCCTGAAAACGAAGTCATATGTTATATAATATTTCCAATGTAATTTAGTTCCATAGGGAAGTATTTAATAAAATGTATTATTAATTATATTATAATTACTTTTTTTATAAACGTTTATCATGACTGGTTATATAGTTACAAAAAATAGTTCAGGCAGACGGATTATACTTACAATATACCAGCGGTGTATTGTGTATATAAAATAAAACATTATTTTATTTACATATATATACAACACAATAAGTCATAATAATGTTTACATGCTTACGGCAATATTATCTTATACATGTTATAATAAAGTGGTGTGGTTGCTATTTTTTATGCTGAAATATATTTTGTACAGTAGTAAAAATAAAAAATCCTACATAAGTTATAAAAATGAATAAATGTCATAAAAACTATATACTGACATTAAAATCTATAAACAAGATAAAACTAAGAACAAAAACACACGTTTTATATCTTATAAATTATTATACAATAATTGGTGTGGGAAGTATATTGCTGCTTGTTTATCAATATTTTTAATGTTATGAAGATGAGTTTCGTCATGTTTGGAGTGTGTGTTTTGTCCGTTTGTGAGTGTACCAGTGATTTCTTGTCATGGTTTCCTATTGTTTGGATCTTTTGATTATCAGATGTTGTAAACTGCAATTCTGTTAACGTAGTTGTTATTTATGTATTTCGTGGATATTTTTTTATGTTTCTCATGCAACCAGTGGCGTCTATACAGAGTGTGTTGAGTCACAGGCGGATCTACGGTGGACGGGGGCTTTCGGATCTACGCTTTCGGGCTGAAGTCCCTCCCGCAAAATGGTGAAATGTAACCATGTTTTATGGTAAAAAATATTTTTAAAATATCTCTTAAAGTATCATTGTTCGTGTAATTACATTTAATAGGACTTCAAAAATCACATAAACACCATTTCATATATGTAAATAGTATCTTTATTTTTTTTAGAGTAGTTATGGTTATATATATATGAAAAAAAAACCTTTCGGGTTGAAGCCCCTCCCCCCAAAATGAAATTTTGGATCCGCTAGTGTGTTGAGTGCATTTTTATGGGCATCGCCAGAAAGCTAATTTTTCTACTTTATTTGTGTTTACACTGGCTTCATCACCAGTGACTTGGTTGAGAGAGTAGCGCAGGGATCTGTTAGAGCTGCTTTTCCTTCTATAGTTGGAGGGAGAAGCCTGGCTTTGGGTTCCCTGCCTGATTGTATATATTGTATATAGGCATGACTGTGTTTTTATGTTTTTAATTTACATATCTTTAGGTTATTTTATTTTTTTATTGTACATAGTTTTTTTATTATTATTTTACTTTTGTTAATTTTATGTTTTCTGTATATATGGTGTGAATGTGTTAATTTATCACTATAATCATTGTCCACGAGACAGAATATTATATGTCTAAATAAAATAAAATAAAAATTTGTGACTAATGGGTTAAGTTATGCGATAATTACAGAGATGGATATTCCTTTGTGAACCATGGATTAAAACTCGAAAAAATTAACTTGCTCCTGTGAAAATACCAAAATTTCAATTTCGTTTTTTTTCTTCTCGAAAATATGATTTTTGCACTTGATATACAACTCGCAGGTACTAAAGATATATTAATATTTAAGTATTAATGATCTCATGTGTCCCACCTTTACGACGAGTTAAAGTGGCTCTTCCCTTCTTTCCGCAGACAATATTTCCTCGGATCTTTCCTATTCCAAACAATCAACACTAGACACCCTTCTTACATATACAGTCTCCTACAGTTTAAACCCGTGGTCCACTCCCAGAAAACAAGATCCCGTGTTTCCGACCTTTATATCCCTTCCCATAGAACTAAGACGTTTGAATATTCCTTTATTTCCCGATCCACAGCCTGCTGGAATTCCTTGCCATCTGAAATCCGTCATGCCTCTTCCTTGTCCTCATTTAAATATCATCTTTACCAATTCCTTCTCACATCCCAAAATGACGTTATACAATAAAATAAATATTGTGAAACAGATTTTGACTGAGGTGAATGGTTGATAAAATTTATTGAGTCTTAATTTTAAAAATCAACCCATGCTTATTTTATTTTATTTTTATCTTCATTTAAATAATGTTGTTTTTTTTATTTCGTTTTTTCTCAAAATTTTATTTTATTTTAACTTGTTTTAATTTAATGTCACTGATGATACTGTATATATTCTTTAATATTTATTAATGTAATTTTTGGCCAGATGTAGTTTTAATTTTTTTTTGTTCATATCTGTTATTCATAAGGGACCTTGTCCCAGAATAAAGTTTACTTTCTATCTATCTATCTATCTAATATTAACACATTATATTATTTTGAAAAATTAAATATATTTTTCTCTGGTTTAATATGGCTAATTATGTTTTTTATTAATACAATAAATTATTTCCAGAACAATAAAAATGATAAAACTATTAGTGGGGATAAGTTAACCGCTGTGAAATTTGGGGAAGAGTTGAGGTGGAGAGCTATTGTATTGTACTTCAGATTCCCCTCGCAGCAGTTAGCGGTGGGGTGCGGTAAGATACACCTTCCTATCGGATGAACACACCCTGCTATTTGCTTTGTTCCTATTCCGGATTTAGGATGGGGGGTATCTTCATAGCTAGCAATTCGTCTTACATTAGCAACTCCGTTACTAATAGTAAGTGGAACAGACATCTTTTTATTAAATAAAATCAAGAATCAAATCAAATAACAAAATCGAGAAAAAATGTGGCCTACAAAAATATTGTGCCGTTTGTTGTGACCTCCACCCTAACACATAGTTATAAAGTCTCATATATATATATAGCTACCCTTTTTTCTCGATTTTATGATAAATTTATCTTATGATCCAAGTGGAAAGTAAATGGATATTTTTTTTAGTACCTAATTAAAAATGCTCTAATTCCAAGAGTTTTCGTAAATAAAATAGTTGTAAGTTACACTGAGATGAAGCTATTCACGAATTTTTAGGCGGATGTTAACAATTTGATAAAAAGGTGTCTGTACCACGGACTAAAAGAAAGAAGAATTTAAGACAATTTCTAGGATGTTACGAGCTACACATTAATAAACAAATATTTTATTTGTTGGTTATACATATTCCTGGCTTACAATAAATTTGCCATCTATCTCGGTATTCAGCAAATATGATATTGAGGAGAATAAATGATAGCATGAAAAAAAGAATAGTAATAACAAAAGACAAAAACAAAAAAAAAAAAAATAAAAACAGTAGCAAAATAACACAAAATAAAAAAAAATAGTACAGCAAGTAGCACAATGCCTTACTTGGCCAGCGCCTCAGCAGTCTTCTGGGTGGATTATATGGATATGTAGCAGTCGGTAGAGCTTGAGTAAGTGGATTTGAATTTAGAATCAGTCTGTCATGAAAATTATTAAAGCAGTCAGTGGCAGTTGCCGTGAGTGTTAAATTCAGTGTTTAACGTAACGTTTGAAACATAAAAGGGTGTGTCTACAATTTTCCGAAGAACTTTTGACAGGAATGACTGGATGATTTTTATATTTGATTTCTTTGCTGTTCCCCATAGTTCGATTCCATATGTCCATAGTGGTTTAATGAGGACTTTGTAAATAGTTAATTTATTAGTCACAGATAATTTAGAAGCTCTGTCAAGTAGCCTAGAAAGAAGTCGGTATCGCTGATTATGTTCTTTTCTTCTTTGTTTGATGTGGTATGTCCATGTCAGTCCTTTGTCAAAGTGGAGACCCAAATATCGTATAGTTTTTGAAGGTGGTAGATCGATATTATTAAAGAACAAGAATAAACAAATAATTAAAATAAACCGAAACATAAAAATCACTAACTGCGCAGGTATTTATTTGATGTCATTTAATAATAATTATTGTCAAACTTCGAAATTAGTCCCGTTTTACTTAATACGATTTACTCGTGTTGTTTTTCTCCCATAGTTTTCGGATAAAAAAGTTAATTTATTTAAATGTTTATATATTTTTGAAAGCTAAAAAGCGATGAGTCTCTAACATATAAGTGGTCAGTTAACTTGACAACTTTTCACCAATTCAGGCACCATCAAAACAGAAAAACAAGATCACAAATATACAGAAGGATGGAGAGATAATTAAATAGAATGAAACTTACAAAGGTAATAGGAAAAATTAACAAATATTTACTGTCCATAACAAAGATACCTCGCCCTTCATTCTGATTCTGAGATTTTCTTACCTGAAAACAAACAAAAAATAAAATTAGTAATAATCGACGTGGGTCGAGTGGAGTATATCGTATCTAGACTTATTAAACTACATTAAATGTATTTGAGGTTATATACATATCCATGAAATATTTTTAAATTTCACTTCTTCTTTCACACAAGTACAATGAGATAGTATTCTAAAGAATGGGATTACTTTTTTTTCAAACTTAGTAAAAAATTGAGTTTCCATTAAGCAAGAAAATTTAATTTAATTTCATTGGAAACATGTGATTTACGTTAAATAATGTTAGTTTTCTGAAATTATTATTTATATTTTTGTCGTTACTCTACGTTACCTTCTACAACTCTATTTATTTGACATATTTTTTTCGAAAATATTCCACTTCCCAACGATATATTATAGGTAAACCTTCTGACTGTTATTTCCGGAGATTCATTTTCAACGTGGATAAGCTTCTTTTTTTTTTCTCTAGTAATTATCATTACTGATAGT